AAGGAATCTTCCGCGGAAAAGCTCCGCCTCCATTAGCACAGAAAAACGATAGCTTAGGCCCCTAGCCTCATGAGCATAGCAAAAAGAACGGAACATAAGTGTTAGTTTCGATAATACTAATCCTACACACAAGACAAAATGATCACTCTTTCCGTGGAAGATTCCTTTAAGGTATCGTTTTCTGTGGTAATGAGGGCGGAGCTTTTTCCGTGGAGGATTCCTTTAAATTAACTGGAGTTCGTATTCCACTTGTATGTCATGAGGTGTGCGCGACGTAACTCTAGCTTAGTCGCAAAACCTGAATTTGTGACACCCTAGCGCCATTGTGGCGGGATTTCGAGCCGTCTGCTGGAGGTGTTGCTTTACTTATCTGGATCATGCGTTAATCTCAGCCATTTCAGCTTTGTAGCCCTACCTTGACCACTAGTAACCAGATTTGCTTAGAGGCCGTCGTCACTTGTGGTGTGTGTTCTGCACTCGACGTGCGAATGGATGATTCTGGAACGGAAGAGTGTGACAAATTTCCGCGTGCGCTGGGAATCGCGATGAGGACTTTGGTTCCAAGGATTCAGTGGGATCACATCTTAGTATTTCAGGGAACAGTCGTAGATGGTATTCGAGGCCAGTGGGTACAGCGAACTGTAAAAAACTGGTAAAATTAATATTTTAGCAGTAACCACATATACTCCTAACCCCTCCCGTGATCTCCCATATTGGAGTTTTAGACGATCTCCCCTTCGGGAACTATGTGAAACACTGTGTGACGCGTGGGCGGGGAAGGGGGTATAAAGCAACATGAGAATGCCCCAGCTTGCAAAAGGTGGGTCGCATTTTGTCCAGGGAAAAGCATGGGGCGTGCGCGTACTGGAGATGGCAGTGTATTTTTGGGCGAGGAAAATAAATAGGTATGAAAGGAATCGTTCACGGGAAATTTAGCCATTCCCAATTGAACAGGTCAGTTGTGATCATTACAGTACAAAGCCTGAAGTAAGAGGCGACGAAATCTAGACTCTATGGACGGTCGAGGGTAGGTCGGGCGGAGACAAGGGAACGCATGGAAAGAAGTGCGTCTTGGAGCGGCCACGTATCAGGCGACGTATTGAAAGAATTGGGTTAAAGCGTTCGATTTTGGAGAATAGAGACAAAACGATCGATAGAATAGGATGCAGTAGAAAAGTGAAATGTTATTGCCATAAGTCAAAAGGCCAAAAGAGTTTCTAGTGAAGGCACTCCGAGAACCAAGTGGAAGCGTTCCCGTCGCCAGCATTTGTGACAGATGTCCGGCGGTACTTTGAACGCGTAGCAGCCCTTTCGGTTTTTCGAATTTTTTACCAAAACAAATGCAATTTTTTTGTTCTTTTCGTTCTTATCGTGAATAATGGGTCCCAAGCCAGTGATTATGGGTTAGATAGAAGTCATGATTTTCCGTGGGCGATTCCTTTAATTATGCTTTGTATATCGTTCTCGAATTCCATCAGATCGACTTACGGTGAACCTTTGTCGTCTCTATCTTTGCTTTCAGATTTTCTCTTGCTCGATTTTTCTGACTTGCGCCTGCTTCGATCAGTCGTGTCGTCGCTTCGTTTTTTCGACTTACTCTTGTCGCTGTCCTCATCACCTCTTTCTTTTCGTTCTTTTGAACGAGAACTCTTCTTACTAGAACGAGAACTCTTCCTGCTGTGACTTTTCCTAGAGCTTCTCGAGTGTTTTCTGGATTTCTCCGACTTCTCGTCTTTATCGGCTTCCGAGCTGAAATTATTTACTTTTCCTTTATTTGTTTATCCCTTACGCTGAAAGGCGCGCCACAAATCAGTAAGAAAAGTCGAGAAACTGGGCTGATAGTGTCAGCAAGTTTAGGGAAGGAAAAAAAAAACAAAAAAAACGAGAGAGAATAGGAAAGGGGTGAACCGCAGCAAGAATTGGACTATTGAGCAGCGAGAGTTTGACAGAGAAAATTATTATCAACTGCTGGACTAAAGATGAGACAGTTAAAAGTCTTAACTAACCCAGATCTCGAGAAAGCCTTTTTCAATTTGCCCTTGAGCTCCTTCGCCTTTTCTCGATGTCGACGTTTCTTTGACGATTTGCTGCTGCGCCTGCGACTCTGAAAATCGTTACATTTGTTCAATAGGAGATAGTTGAGAAGAAAACGTACCCTTTTGCTTTTTGATTTTGGCCGTTTTTCTTTAGGTTCTTCGAGCTCTGAATACATTACTGGTTAGACTATGGGGAAAGTAAATTCAATCCCGCAAAGTGGATGGTGCTAAGGGAGGTCCTAATAGAAGAGGGTCCTTTTGGCCGCCAACATCCGTGACGCGATGGCTGCACACTGACTCATCAAGGGCACGGGTCGGGATCGAACTGGTGCGTTATTTTGTTCCAGCATTAGGCGACAAGTGCCAAAGAGAAACGTTGGTGGGGGGAGCAAAAGCGACCTAGAACGTTACCTTCATCAATTTTCTCTTTTTTTTCTAGACAACACTTAATATTTCTTTGTCTCTCGGCCGTGGTATGATGGAGAGACCCTGCGCTTCGAGGAGAGGAAAAACGCGAGATAGCCCGTCATATTAGAGAGGGCCCAAACGCTAAGATGCCGCGATTGATAGAGTGGCAGCGCCGGCAGCGTGCAAGACAAGGACTCATCTCCTTTGCCGCGACTTCTGAGTGCGGCGGTGTCGCGGCCCCGTGTTCAAGAATCCCTCCTTTTCACCCAAAAGATTCCGGCTGTTGACACCTAACCTCGACCAGTGACTTTAAGTTCATTTCAAAAACTCACTCTTTTCACTCCATTTGATGCCTTCACGAGGTCTACTGAGTGAGAGCGACGTCTCCTTTGGACGGTTTTCTGGATCCGGAATACCGCAACGGCACAGGTGACGGTTAATGTGAGTACCCTCCAGGCATATGCGCGTGTATTGTGACGTGATTCATGGAATACAGAGCGAAGCGGCCACCTACAAATATATTCCGAGATTAAATAATTTGAGATGCGTCATGGAATCCCATTGTCCTCAAGTAAATTAAGTTGAATAATCACCGATTCGGGCATCTGTAAGGTAGCAATACGCTCGACGATCAGTTGCCGATCCACTTTGCTGAGATAGGCAGAACGGATCTGAAAGGGATGCAGAATCGATCCAGAAGCATGTCCATTTTTAGGGTCTTCTCTTTTGAGACAAGCCACGCCCTGCGGTTCTCGCCCGCGCGCGACCTGACGCGACCGAGCAGTGGCGCGGCGCGCGGCTTGACTTCAATTTTCGAATTGTGACTCACCACTGCGAACACACCCGGAGCATAGACTGCCGGATGTGGCTGTCCGACGAGCCACAGCAGTGCCGCATCGGCGACGACCAGCTCGTGCGCCACACGAAGTTCACAGCTGAAATTTCAAGCATGCCGAATGTGACCATTTATGCTTGCCGTGGGGTGCTATTACGGTAGCAGTTGGCTTGTGAGACCAGGGGGTTCATTTTCTTTGGCGGAGTGGGGGATGAGGGCATTCAAGAGGTGCTGGTAAGTGGCACTAGGACCAAGCCCAAGAGTAAGGAGAAACGCTAGAGAAAACAAAATGGCTAACGTGCTTTCCCAGAATCCCTTCCCCTAAGCTTAGTCGCTCACGGTGCTTGTGAGTGGCTCCACCCACTTTGAGTGTTCCCCCCCCCCCAACTCAAGGTCATGAGCGCCCCAGTATGTACTGTAAGCCAGCTAATCAAATGCTTTTGTTAACATGGGCAGTGCAAATGGCAAAGTCGACGAGACCATGATTGATGTGCACGGTTTTGCAATAACTGCGGCCTGACCGCATGGGTATCCTTCTATTTTATAAAGCGCTAACTTTGTGTGTCGGTTTGTGTATCTGTATGTGTGTGTGTGCGTGTGTGTATGTATGTATGTGTGTCCGTCCGCAAAATGAAGTGAGTGAGAAGGAAGCTCATGGGATAAACAAACCGCTAACAAATCGGGTAGCTTACAGATTTGAGATATCAATGTTTTGTAGCAGGATAGTTGTGATAACACTCTTAGGGCTATATAAACACCTGCTTAGCACACTTCCGTTCATTCCACATGGTGCTGCAGTGGCAGCTGGAGGGCAGTGGAGAGAGGAAGGGAGGATGAGGAAGGGAAGCGAAAAATCTACCGTCATATCATGATTGTGTCCCTTCTACTGTATGAAACACCATTGTGTTGCATACGCGTCACTTCCAGGAGGTGTTGGTGTCACAGGAGGAAGGGACCATAGCGGAGGATAGAAAGCTTGCGCAGGAAAGGAAGGTCCCGGCGGTTGACGGGGGACTAATCTGGTTATTAAAAGGCACAACGCGACAACGCGCGCGCGGCCGCCGCACACCGACGTGCTTTTGTCGCACGCGACATGTGCAGAAGAATAGTCATTTGGTGACGTCGGTGATACTCACTAATCATATCTCTAACCGATTCATTGTATTAATTCGTCCAACGGGAGACGTAGAATGAGCCAAAAGGGTACCTCGCTAGGAGCATGACGAACTGATGATAAGGAATGCGTTGAAAGTCCTGGTAAGGCTGCCATTTCGACGAAGCTCCACGAAGCCAAATAGTGCAGCGCGTTTTCCGTCTAAAACATTCTTAGTGTGCTTTATCGATTTTTCTGACTACCATTATTGATTGCTAACCTCTTTCGTTATGTTTGAAGTGCCAGCAACCAGTACGGCCTGGATGAGGTGGTCTGTTGATGTGGTGGCGGTTAGAATCAAAATCTGAAAAGTGCCAATCTTCCAAATGCTGGGCTCCTACATAAAGGGCCTTCCGCCAGTGACTTTGAAACAAGGCAGTCCGATCGTCTCACTGCTGGTCTGGATAGTCTCGAGAACCGGACTGTGTTACGGTAGGTGGCCCACCTTTGGATTACGTGATGAATTCTTTGGTCTCGAACTTCAGTAGGGTTGCTGAGACATTTGGTCGGGTAGTCATAAATTGTTTCGAGGCTTTCAGGCTCTCGAAGAAGGCGACCCCGCCAAAACGTTAGCCCAATAAAGGTCATTTATCAACCTTTGTGAGGGTTTCGAAGAATATATCAGCAATGCTATCAACGTATGTAAACCTATGAGGATTGCGACTGTTGCAGCTTGGACGGGTTTCCAAGCAGGGTCAAGCCTATCGTTGTTACTTTTTGAAATTTTTTT